ATGTTACTGAGTACTTCACTACAACCAGAAATGGAAGCAAGAAAGGGGCATACTTTTAGATCAAATGGAAATCCTCAAGGCTCATCTTCAAGGCTGTTTTCCAGTTCTTCCAGTGAATACTATAGAAAAGTCTCTCTTTCAAACTGAGAATCTCTAGATTCGGGGGCAATATAAGGTTCGGCAATTCTGGAGCTGAAGAACTCAGTGGTTCTTTTCCTTAGAGGAACGATCGGGGACTTCCCAAAAATGTTCCGATGATCTGAAACGCCAAAAGCAGCAGCAGCGGCGGCATGTAGGGGGTGCAACCAGAGTTTCCGTCCAACCGGCTGTGATTCCGCTCGCTACAACACACGAAAACCTTCAATTTTATGCCTATAGCAAAAGGCTCTTTAAGAGAACGTGTGGGTTTACCCCACGTTTACCGTGACTACCGGGAACAGGTGCAGATACCATTTTTGTAAGTTATGTAGTAAACAACTCATGCATATGGTAACCTGATGACTCGTCAAGCAACAGATTAGCATGTAAAAGAGTATTGAAAGTTCGCATAGAAAACGGCTAAGATAACTTTTCCCAAATTGGGGAAATCGAATAAATCTAAATGGTAGGAGATAAAGCTCGAAAAGTTTGTGTCATATGCAATTGAATCGATGTATGCAGGAGCATTACCAAGGCAACGACGGCCCCATTGAATTGTCGTTTTCACGATTTCATAACCTTCTGAGTGCTCTCACGTAGGCGGCGTGGGTTTCCAGATTGCAGCCTTTTTCAATTTGATTGCTTCCTCATGGGAGACACTTCAAGACGATTTGTGGATGTATGCCACGGATCATGAAAAGAATGTTTAATGAGTATGAGGCGGTTTACTTTGTGTGGTCACGATGATGGCTCACGTGATATTCCTGAATGTCAGCTGTTGAAGCTGTTCAATGTAAAACTCGTGTGTAATTTAGGAGTAACTACTAGGTTGATGCATAATTATCGCGGATTTTTTCTCAACAAATTTTGTTTAAATAAACAATAAAAATACCGAACAAAACCATGTTCAAATAACTATTCCGGAACCTATCTACCATCTACATCAAGCACTGCTTCCCATTTGCTAGGCAATTGGTTTTCCGAAGCAGACAAGTTTCGATTCTTGGCGGCGATCCACGCCTTGACATCAGCCATCAAGACATCAATTTCATCGTAAGTTCCGTTCGCTATCCAATTTCCCAACGAACTGTTGACGTGATGATCCACAGAAGTTTCTATGAGTTAATTGACGAATTTGGGAGCGAATCCCAGTCCTTACTTGACTATGACTGGCTGTTCCACCACCGAAAAGTTAGTTGAGATCGCGAAATGACGCCTGTCACCTTCAACCTTTCTCGAAGTGACAGGGCATAATGTGGCGAATATGAATATGACTTTGCAGATACATTTCTGTTAAGGAAACCCAGAGGAATATTTCCATGAAAACCCTGAATCCCATATTCAAATGTGTCCCGAGAAAAGAAGCCGCGAAAAAGTTAGCAATAATTATGCAACAACCTAATAATTTTCAATATTTCCCTTCTCAGCATCTTTCCTTAATGTTATATTTTTGCGTAGACGTCAATCGCTAAATCAAATAGCTAACAGCAAGTAGTTTTTGGTGCTTCTCAGAAAGTTCTCTGAACAAGGTGCATGTTTCTGGGCACAGAGTTAGAAGCAACGAGCATGCTGTAGAAAATTTTGAGCTTTTCCAACCATAGGAATGTTTTCTTGTATCTTTACGAATACATTGTGAGCCAGACGACTTGAAGTTGTTTCAGACCAAGACCGATGAACACCCTTAGAATGATAGAACCTCAGATCTTATTTCTATCGGAATCCGTTTACAAACACTTCGATGGACCATTGGCTGGCGGTTCCCCCAGTTGCTACCAAAACTCTTCCATGCCGCCCCATCGTTCGCTACCTACATCCAATGTGAGCTGAGTACAACACAGAATAGGGCATTTTATTGAAGACGAATCCTTTAAGCCTCTCGTGGAAGTTTCGATCGTTCTTTTTAATCGAATACCCTCAAGATGCTTACTATTCGAGGTATCTAGCGCTAATTAATTCGGTTAAATCTAATGGCTGACCATAGGGCCACATCCCTCACCCGACAAGATGAAACCGCTTCCTAGCAAAGAACAATTCCCTCACAATGCAACGGTCAAAGCTAGCTAGCTCTCCACAATTGCTATGAATCCCCAATTCTCAAAAGGAATCAACGCGTTTTTTTTTCAATTTTTCCAGTATTGAAGCACTTAGAACAACACAGAAACGAGGATTTCATTTTACTTTGGTTGTTTTTAATCCATGAAACGAGATATATGTACGCTACTCAGCGCCCAAACTGGAAGACTATTTCTCCCATCACTATATTAAGTCGTACATGAACTATAGTACAAGGAGTTTTTAAGCGATTACTCAACCTCTAATTAAAACCACACATCAATTATTTGGTTTTTCAAGTAGTGAGTCATATTCCCATAAACGAACAACGTTATTCCTACAAGGTCCAAATAGTCCGAATTCTATGACTCACCCCATATGGTCTCCTTCCTCTTTCAGCAGTGGTCCCTAATGGAGATAATTGCACTGAGCTTTTCTGTATTCCAACATGTTCCTCAAGAACAAAGGTCAAATGCCTCAATAAGGGCCTTAATTGTAATCCCACGCTTTCGGTACAAATTTTCAACATGAACCAATAACTGCGTAACAACAATTTTTGTAGTAATCTATATTTCTGGCGCCCAAACATAAACGAGTGCGACCCAACGCATGCAAAAAAGAAAGGAATAACCGAAATCGTTGACTAACAAACAATGACTGTGTGCATAGAAAAAGCAATGACAGCTAACAACAAGACGTGAACCGTTTCCTTTTTGCCGTGCAACCATACCGGAAGAGAAGAGAAGAGAAGACATGGATGCAGTCATTATAACTATTTTAAAATAGATACAAATGATTCAAAAATGATATTATATCTCATGGAAAGAAAACACGACGCAATTCAACCCAACGTTCCAATCTCATCGAAACAGAAACAGATTCAACAATAATCATAAATAACAAAAAAGGATAACGAACGGAATGAGCACATAAAAATCAGAAAAGCATCAAAAGTAAAATGAAGCAAAAGTCATCTTTATAACATGGTACAGTGTCGATGACTGTTTACAATTATTACTTGAGAAAAATTAAAAGATTGAAAACCTATATCATTCCTAAAGCTTCAAGTACAAACTTTTTGATTGGAGGCAATGCCTCTGAAAGATTAATGTTCCAAGTTGATAAGGAGAAAGCCCGTCAAATACAATGTAATCAAAAATACACCCCTATTAGGGTTTCTGCTTCTTGTCATCCTTTTTCGCCTCCACGAAGCAACGTGAACAGTGCTCCTCGAGGCGTGCCACCAGTGTGCGCACAAAATGAGGCAACACTAGTACACCTGAATCATCAGCAGCGAAATTATCGAAATCTAAAGGCTGGAATGCCCACACAAGAAGATGGCAATACTCAAACATTACCAGTGAAACATACCAACTATCTTCTGATCCTGTTCTGTCCTTACACGAATCACTTGCATTCGTGACGCCCGCCGATCGCGATCCGAAAGAACTTCTTCTACGACCGGCCAAACAGAAAGCACAGAACCGGAGAGCACGAAGTAGGTTCGCGTCCGCCGTCCTACTTCGCAGTACACTCCCATCGCCTCGCTTTTACATTTGCCATGCACATACGTATGGTGACAGTTGTCTATGGCACCTGACCACAAAAAGTATAAAAAGAGATCAGGTGAAATCCTATAAGACAAGTACCTGCGTATTGATCTTCCCACAATTGCTTCGCATCTTCTGGTGGTACCTTGACAAAACGTTTAGATATTTCTGCCATTGTGATTAATTTCGGTGATCGGCCAATTGAAGGGCGAGTTACAGCGTACAGTCTATTGTCATATTCGAGATTATATAAGATCATTATAGCAACAACAAAAAAATACCGTGCGCCTGTGTCGAAGCGACGTTTACCAATGCCATAAACCAACACGGCAACTTGCCGACCCGTGTTCGAAGTATTTGAAACATAAAAGCCGTCCTGGAAAAGAGTGGAAATGTGATGGTCCAGAGCACAATTGTCATGAAATAGCACCAACAATAACTCATTTGCTCATCGATAAACCATTGATAATGTAAGTGCATCTTATCAGAAAAATTAATTCTACTAAATTCTGAAATCCGCTAGATGAAAAAAATGTAGCCTTATTATACCTGGATAGAAAAACGACTGCTGGATTTACCTCATCTGAATTGTGCTCTTTGTAGAGAGCGAAAGCCTCATCCCAAGATAGTCCCCTTTCGACACCAATCTTCTGCATTTCCACACGGAATCCACCTTTCTCGGCTCTTCCAACAAAAACTCTTGTCTCTAATTTACGAACTTGATCTCCTCCAGTTCCCAAATCTAAAAACCATCACGTGAAGTATTGCTTGTGAAAACCACCGTAGTCTTCGTTCAGACGGCTTACCCATTATTCCCATGTCATACGTGCCATCTAGTTTTGCCTGGGCTATTAGCTCCGCAACAATCTCAGTGAAATAATGGAATAGTGCGTTTTGAGCGTGTACTGGTATGCCAAGAATACTGCAAAGCAGAGATTATATGAATTATCAAAAGAGCAGCAAGTAAAAGGCAATAAAAACAAACCGATTGAGGAATTTGGAGATAGTAGCTGCTTCTCTTTCAATTGTATAACAGTCAGTGTTAGGTTGCTTTGATAGAAGACCAACTCCCTCCATGTACAGTCGCATATCTACGTTAGAGCATTATTTAGATCATGCAAAAAAAAAACATTAAAGTTATAAACCATATCATCAGTACTTCGCGAAGTAGGCTACCTTGAAAGAAATCTCCAGGCTTATAATCAGCCGGAGGAGGAATAAGTGGTGGGTTCAGTGCACCCGTCACAGATTTCAGTAGCACTTCAAGCGCATCACGACCGTATCGGTTGTCGATATTGAATTGTGACAGATCTCTACTTTCGGTCGCACGGCGATCACCATGAGTCAAAGCACCCAAAGACTCCAAGCGTTTGGCAACGATTGATGCGAATCTGCACGCGTTATAAACAACTGTGATCCAACTTATATACACATGTTCATATATCACGTACCGTTTTTCTCCTGCCAACTCAGAAATAAGGAATACATATTCGGGAGCGCTGACTTGATTCGAGCGATGGGTTCGACCTGAACAAAGACTGCCCATACGATGGTTAGAAAGATAACTATTATTATGAACTTGTTTCGTCACATGAAACCTAAAAGAGATCCAACTACTGATGCGACCAACCTCACTTCAACTACATTGTCATTCAGGAGTTGATATATTTGTTCTTAAAAGGAATAGTGGCTTCAACCTACCGAACTGCTGTATTGCTTTATCAGCAGACCAAGGCAGCTCCAATGTAATATGTACACGTCGAAGAGTATTCTGAGCACGACGGTCCGACTGCAATAGACATCAAAATGATTCGATGACGATATGCATAAACAAATGAGAAACGGATTCATGTTCCACCTGAAGGGAAATTCCACTAGAAGCAGCCTCTGATATGATTGCAATCTTCTTTTCTCCTTTCATGAACTTGTCTTTTTCGTCCATGTTCATCAGTTCCAATGGGACGTCTGCACCAGCGTGACGTAACTCGTATTCGATCTCACCATCATCTCTAGTAACAATCCGTCCTTTACGTCCCGTCATCTGAATGGCGTTGGAGACAGTAGGAAAGGGTATAATGCTGCTATTCATACATGTAGACCATGATCAGTCAAAGATATGCTCAAGCACACTGTCATGAGTACAAATGCAAAAGTGAAACATAAAAATTAAGAGTTCCGACAGGTAGAAGAACTCCAGAAAAGAAAAAAATGAAAATGGTGGATTAATGTGATGATAGGAATGTAGAAGTAGACCGGTGGTTGAGGAATTATGGAGTCGAGCACAAAACTTGACTGAGACGACTGGACTATTTTTTCAGAAGATGGCCTTCCTGTCTTGTTTTAAATGAAAAAAATTCAGATAAATAAGCCAAGGAATATAAATAGAGCTCAAAGTTTTTGTCAGAATTAAATTGAAATCTAAAATAGAAACAAAAGTAAAGACTCTTTTATCACAAAACAAATTAAATTAGAATACCAACAACAACAAACCTCCGCAACATACTCGGGCCCGCCAAGTTGGTCGATGAGGTGATCCAATGTATTGGGAGGGAGAGATGGACCGAGCCTTTCTACAGCAGTTAAGAGCTCAGCCTACAACTCCGAATATGTTGTAAGGAGTTTTGAGACTAACAAGTGATGAATATCACTGATAGACCTTGATCATTCTTGGGTTGATGCATTCACTGGATGCCGGATCAATGATTCGTGACGATGAGATGAACTGGGTAGCGGTGTTTCTCTAAAGAAGAGTAGTTGCATATTAATATAATTTCATGAATAATAACTTAAATATGAGTGATTCAACCAAACTCTTTGCAAGATAACTTTTCGCGGTAACTAATCGCATTCCAATTCCTGCGACCTCCACCTTTGCTTCTCACATTCTTTGAGAAAAAGTTGCTTATGCGGCTTCCAACACGTACCCATCAAAAAATTGCCGCATTAAGGCAATTCTCTTGTTACCGAGTACAACAGATGTCCCTATTATTTCCTCAGCCCACCGCTCAGCACTACCACACAACGTCATTTAAAAGGAATAATACTACTTAGCAAGCTCAATTTCTATACAGGTAGGAATGAGAAATCTGTTAAGTTCGTTTCTGAGGTTCCAATTGCATGACTCCTGACAATATGAATTAAACGACGCGATGTTGCCCGAACGCATCAATTCAACATTTACCAAAGTTGGCACTTTTGCGACATCCAGCTGTTCGCCTTACTCAGTGCGCTACCAATTCACTAGACAACCTAAGCAGGCTTATCAAAATATTTGAAAAAAACGTAATCAGTCTTCTAAAGTGAACCTGCGTCGCTAACCAACTTCCCAAAAGATAAAATAGGTTTTTCGCAAACTTCTACTTCAAAATAATGACGATCATGTCCCCTATTTGAATTAACTTCATTCGCCTTTCTTATTTCACATGGTTGGTTAAGACCACTCCATGTTTCAAACTAAACACTTAGTAGTTCGAACAGCTAAAAATATTATTCACCATCGCTTCGCTATCGAATTCTCTACGACGCTTCATTTCCGCCTCCCTCGCTGCCTTTTTCATTCGCTTCTTCCGGCGTTTCCTCCTCTCGCGGCGTCGCAAGCGAAGCTCTTCCAACTGCTGTTGACTGACCTGAAAATTTAGCAATTTCTCATCAATGGCTGGAACTGATTGGCCACAAGACAATAGCTTTGTCATATTCCGTCAAGCGGAAAACTTCGCACCTGATTTTGCTTTCTAGGGGAATCTTCCACCACTTGCTGTTTGGATGCCCATGGATCGTCTGAACAAAAAAGTATCAATGTCAAGCACCTACCGTCACTACCTTCTCTGACAGCTAAGTGATAGTCCAACGTATGTCATATTTACTGAAGTTGCCTTCAGAATGAAAAAAAACTTACCAGTGAAGTCGCAATTAAATGGATTGAACTCTTCTTCTCCGCCGCTAGCTCTCTGTTCTGTGCCGCTCTTAAAAAATTATCAATCCAATTATCTCGATTTTATGCAGTACATGAATGACGAAAACATTCAAAACAAACAAGGAGGAAGGAAAACTGAAACCAACCTCGTTTGCATTGGGGTTTTCACGCTGCGTATCTGTGGGATCGTCATCGTCGGACTCACTTGATGATGCTACTTCGGCAAGAAGCGCCTTCAGCCAATCATCGCCATTGTCTGATCAAAGAACAATGATACAATTACGAAAAAATTTGTTTGGTCATATAGCTTTACCTCCAATATTCGATTCCACTTCCGAACCTTCAGCCTCTTCTTCTAGTCCTGAATCTTGATCCAAGTCACCATAATCATCCCCGTCTGACGAAGAGGTTGTAGAGTTCTGATCTTCGTCGTTTCGTGGTTTCTTGGCCTAAATAAAATATTGTCCGTTTTCCATATTCAGTAAGCAATTCAAACTCAATTCTTGTACGTACACGAGGTTCGCCGTATGAACTTGAATCTCGCGACCACGATGACCCGAATCCAAAACCGTCCATGAAGTCGTACTCGTTTTTACGATACCCTGTATAAGTCCATATCTTTTTGTTATACCAAGAGAGTTTAGAGAGAGATTCTTCAAAACACGGAAATTGTAACTATTCACTAGATCCTACTTCGTTGTCGTCCTCGGTCAAAATCATCAGTTAGATCGAAATCTCTATAAATGTCCATACTGCCTACATCTGTTGGGAAATGCCTTTCGATCAATCCTTGTAGCACAGCCCTTAGCAAGAAATACAGGTTGTTCGAAGAGAATAACAATACAGAATTGGGCGGAACTCAGAAAAACCATCAAATAAAACGTACTTGGCAGTGGAAACAAATTCAGTAAGTTCGCCACCCATCTCTTCCAATGTCTCTAACGTTCGCGCTTCTCCAGTAGACTGTAGGCCGATGACCACACACTTGTTGGCTTTGATAGCATCTCGTGCCATTTGCACACATTTGTCCACCTTAAATACATAAATTCGTAAGACGATAATCATAACAACGCTTCAAAAAGATGGAAGTTTTAACAGACGGCAGTCCTAGATGGACATTTCCACGTTCGAAAAAGACAATAATTCTACTACTTATGTGCTAAATCCTTTCTTCGAGCCCACAATTAGCCAACATCGAGAAATTCCGCACCCTTTTCCATACCGTCAGGCATGCTTTCTGCTCTTATGTTCGAACCCAGCACTTACATAATCAGCGCGACAGCAAAGTCACCGCTCTGAAAAATTGGACCGCAGATTAAATTGGAGTAGGAAACTAGCGATGATGCGTATGCAAAATGTGGAGCAGGAACGAGCTGTGTTTCAAGATCATAGGCCGAACTCCGTTCAGGGATACTACTACTCATCAAAAAGGGTTCGAAAATATATTAAAAACAAAGTATATTAAACGAAGTTAAAATCTCATTAAAATTAGATTCACAAACTCTTGCTGACTACAAATGAATATTGGCGACTTTACGATCAAAGCAATGGATGACAAGGAAATTCTTCAAAAACACCATAAATACATTCAACAGCATGATGTCAAACATCCGTCCTATTGGCGACTCCTTCTGTTCCAATCAATATCCAACCCGAATTAAGGGACTGACCCAAACCGAATTTCACTTTACTTAACTGATGAGGCCTTTCATGTTTGGTAATCAGAACCTGCCTCTCATTTCACAAAATTAAAAAAAAAAAATAGAAATTAGAAAAAAATAAAACTCTGAGCACCTTAGCTGCAATGCAGAGATACTTGAAGAATCGCTGATGGCAAGCCCAAAACTGTCCCCATAGTTGTTTACAAGATGATCGTTCTTCTCCAGACATCGCGCTTAGCACAAGCTAAAATCGATCCGAGCATAATTCAAGAGATTTTGGCAATAGCGCAAATCATTACTTGAAACTGTCGTCGGCATTCCAACCATAACTTTACGGAATCATCGTATACTTTGATGAATTCATCAGAAAGAGGGACTTCTTGGACATTGAATGACACACCACGGAAGGAAAGTTGGCGAGCAAGGTAAAGACCTCTTTGCTGAAATGTCAAAAAATGACTGTCAATAAAATTGTTAATTATGTACATCACATTAGAAATTGGAACTGATAAAAGTAGAAAGACGGATGCAACTAGTAATTTACCTTCATATCCATTGCAACAATTTCCATAGCTCCAACGCCTCTTCGCTCAACAGCATTGATAAAGTTGACGAACTCAGGAAAAGCTTGTCCAGCACCCCACAGTCCCAGGCGAGTCATGTATGCCATATTTCGTGGCTCTAAACACATTGGATGATGTCAGATTTGACAAGATTGATACACACAAAAAATTAAACGAAAAAATGATTTTAGCAAAAAGAATGCGAAACCTACCAGTGGCGCCCGTGGCGGAAGCATAAACAACCCGAGCGTTTGGTAAAGCTTTTTGCAGTTCAAGAACCATTCGACCTGTTTTCGTTGGCTTTGCACCTGTGCTGGGCACCAGATTTTTGGCACGATGACACTCATCCAGGATGATCACACCGTCATAATCCTAATAAAGGCATAGTTGACATTCAGCTCCACAGGTTGGGCGAAGAAATCCAAAAAGTATTACTCACTACGCCAAACCACTGTATCAACTGCTTCAGACGGCTTCGATACTTCACTCTAGCACCTCTGCATTCGCCAATAAGAGAAGAATACGTAGCAAAGATTACACCTTTCTTTATATTTCCATTTTCCTTGCCTGAGATTTTCGCGTACTTCAATTTGTTCAGAGCGTAGACCTAGAAAAGCATGCAATACAATTAACATATCAAAGAGAAAGCTTGGAAGTAGAAGCGTTAGATTATGTTCCAAAAACTGGACATTTTCGAACAAAAGGGTAGGTTGTGGATGCGAGAGTGACTAGTTTATGGTGGTATAAATCGAAATCTGCATTTCAGGGAACAGTAGAATTTCTCAAAGTGATAGCGATTTCGAAACATTCCCTTTAACAGTGCAGTTCACCCACAGCGAAAATAATTGATAAATCACTCTACCATAATGTTTCCGGCACCGATGTCCCGTAAATCCCTTTCAGCATCAAATTTCAAGTCGGATGATACAGATAACCATATGGAGCGCTTTCGACCCAACAAATAATTCTCGAAAATTATGGCTGCCACAGTTCTTCCCTTGCCAACTCCAGCTCCGTCACCTCAAATATGATCATATACACAAGCGGCAACTGTGGGAAATAAACAAACATTTTCTTACCTATTAGATACCCTATTCGCTCTCCGCTTGGGAGTCTTTGCTGATGCATTTGACAAGCATAAATGACGGCTTCCAATTGTAGCGCAGATATGGAACCATTATCAATGAGCTAAAACAGCGATATAGTCAAGAATGGAGGCAACAAAAAAAGAAAACTTACATATTCTGGAATGCTAATTTGATATTTGACATCAGGTGGAGTTACACTACTGAGTGACGCCGTTTCAACAACACAATCAGGATGGGCGACTCCTGAACGGAGCTTAGCAGGGACATAATCCGCATAGGTCTCCGCATAGCCAAGATTCTCTTCCTGCAACTAGTATGTGAAAACAACGTGAAACTGCAAATTTTCATTGACGTAGAGCAAAACCAACATCTTCATCTATTTCAGATCGTTTTTCGGTGGCTGATTGATGGGCCAGCTTCATTTCATCTCTGGCCTTCTGCGATTTTGAGTAAGATTTCGATGTGGGAGCAGCCGGTACAGAGGACTGAAAAAAATCGTCAGTGACGCCATTGTAAACGGGAGATGAAAATAAGAAATTATCTAGGAGTACTGGAACCCCGACTTACATTCAAAGGTGGTCTATTGCTGGGTACAGCCGAACTTGAAGACAGCATCTTCGTGACATCCAGATGCTCAAAAGCACCCACAGAAGATGCCATGGCAGCATTTACTACAGGCACTCCCCTCCTTGTTTGACTTGCCGCTTTGTGCTGGAGGAGAGTTGAAGAAGATGAGCTTACCAATGCAGGATGCGGTCGGCGTACCATTTCACCAGACCTTACGGTTACAGTGCGAGGTGAAGAAACGACATACTAAAAAAGGTAGGTAATAAAAATCAGTAATGAAACCAAACAAAGCGTGCATCGTTACAAACAAACCTGTTGGGCAGTCCTTGATGCAGGGGCGCCATGATGCTCAAATATAACATCGGATTCGCGGCTTATACTCGACTGAAATCTCCGCCTTTAATGACGAGTGTGCATCGACGCAAAAAACCTGTTTTACCCGTCCAGATGTACTGCTACCACATTCTGAAAAGCCCACATAAGCTGGAGAAGCCGGTCTCGTTCCGCTCCAAGTTGCAGCACCAGAACGTGGCGATGAATAAGCAGTAGCAGGACGAACGGAGTATCCTAAAACAAAGGCATTTTTGTAAGTAATCGCCATAACGCAAGCACACTGGTTTTGATGAGGAAGAAATAGGCACCTCTAACTCCGGCCACCCGAGAAATCGGGTTACCACGAATCCCTCTGCTCACTACTGCTCCCCCACGTACAGTTCCTTGCGGAGCAACATTAGTATAAGAGACTGACGAACTGGGACTAGAACTTGCAGCAAAGTACTGGGTTCCATTCCGATACTGTATAGAAGTCGGCGATGATGCAGCACCACGCGATCTGAAATTGTTTGACCTTCTGAGATAACCGTTAGTGAGCGCCTGACAATAAAGTGCTGAATGAGATAGGAAGAAAATCAAGCAAGAAGAAAAAACAAGCAAAGTATATGGTTGGCCTGTGATGCCCTCAAAATTTACACTCGATTTAAGTCAGCATGTATGAAAAAAAAAGATACAAAAATGGCGAAAAAAATTAGATCACATAAAATGTTTATGTGCCAGAAACTTACAAAACTTCGCGAGTCGTAACTGGGCTCCTGCTAATACTTCCACGTGATACAAATTTTCGTACTATTCCACTATTTGAAGCAGAATTCAAAGCCTGCGATAGAGACATACCAGCAGGAATCGGTTTACGAATCAGAACTGGGCCTAAATAAAAATTACTTCAGGTGAATACTATATGCATAATTCTTAAACAAATATTTCCCAACCACTAACGAGTGATCATGCAGTCAATGTGCACAAATTGCCACAATAATCAATCATCATAACTTTGCGTACCTGATGGAGTATTTTGGCGAATAACCACAATTCGCTGAGGCTCCTTAACCGTATTCGCAGAATTTTGCCGCTCATAGTTATTCACAACTGCTGGACCTCCGTTGACATTACGAACAATAATAGACCTATTCCTGCCATCTACTGCTTTCGTAGTAGCAATAGTGCGCACTGCACGGTACACAGTCTGCCCATGCTCCTTAAATTATGGATTCAATGGGCTACGACCTGATTTCCACTATAAACCCAACAGTTACATTTATGAATGGACGCAGTAGCTGCGTTCTCGGTCCATCAGGCGTCTGGACTACCTGACGGAAAAGCTGCCCTCCCGTTGGACTGGCGGTATACACTTGCCTGAATTTGCACGATAAACGAAAGTTAAGAGATTGCAGGAAGAGTTCTTCATTGGACTTACCTGATCTGTTTTGGAGCTGTTGTAGTAGGTCCTTGTTTAAAAGTAGTGACCTGCCTAGTGGGAACATTCACAGGCTCTTCCCTCACCACATTCACTTCGGAAGCAAAAGCGGCCGGTGACACAGCCGAAGTTGAAGGCTGAGACAATTCTACTGAAAGGAAAACGAAGACATAAAAGCGTATGGGCGTCTGAAACTTTTATAACCGAAAATTACCGTGATTATCAGAAGGAAAAGTACCATCAGGTGCTCCATCCAGAAGTATATTCTCTTCACCTTCTTCCCTAGACTCACTTGCACTAGAGATAGTTGTCTTTGCAGTCAATGAGGACGTAGAGGGAGAGGGAGTGGCTTCATCAGTTGAGTTCCTGAACCCTTACTCAATCATCAGCAGATATTTTACATGATTACTTTTAAATCTTTCACCATCTTCATTTGTGATCACATTCAATTACCCTAAAAAGACGCTAGCAAACACTCCACAAGTAGATAAATTCCAAGACTAGTATGCAATGGCCGTCTTGAGACCACGCTCCACTTGATCGGTTACTATCGAAAAGGATCTCCTGGCGATACTACAGGACATATTTAATGTGCTCCAACTTTTCTTCGAAAGGAGATGTTTCTGCGAATTGAAGCGGCACACAAGTAGCACATCTTAGTGCAGAGCGTAAGGATAAAATGATGAAGAATCAATAAAGAATGATGAATAAGAAAAACGTTTGGATGGTGGAACACGAAGAATCGACACAACTCGCATATTTAAAAGGTAAAACAACAGGAAGGGAGTCCACCAAATTGCGTGTTACATAAGTCACGTTTTAGAGACCGAAATTGAAAGGGCAGGTGAAGAGCAAAAGAGAGATCGCACAAGTTTTACATATCTTAAGCCATAGGAAACCTTTTCATCGCTTAGGAGAGCCAGCCGCACTTTGCCGTTCACCCGTCACCGCTCTGGAAACAGTTCTCGGATTGATGCCTGATACCTCGGCCACAGCAAAGTTTAGGGGGCCATCAAACAGAAATGAGTCCGTAGTTCCGCAGTGAAAGAGTCCGAGAGCTCATGATCGAATGATTGTCAAAACTTCAATGTGGACCACCGAACTAGTGTTGGTTGTCTCAGTAAGTAAGAAAAGCAGATATTGCTTGAAAGACCTCCTACAAGTTTTGCGGCCACTGCAAGTATATGAGCTCCAAAATGTTTTTATGCCATGATTCGTGATTGCTAATCGTCAAAGGCAGTCAATGTTACATCAAAGTATCACTGGAGAAGAAAAAAGGACGTTCCCAAATGGAAAGCAATGCAAAAACTTCAAATGGTTTGAACGCCGCTGTTAAACGCAAGTACGAATATCCTCAACTCCGATTTCTTCCCCGCTGATCGAATTTCTGCCAATATTTCTACTACTTTTGAGGGAAAAACCAAATGATCATGCACAAAAGAGGGATAACAATATAAAAGAAAACAAACGGGTTTATCTACGTCAAAACATGATATATAAAAATGGTTTACCCTGTTGTAGAAACGGCCAGAGATTCTGATGGTGGTGGAGTGGCAGTAAGGAATTCTTCAAGACCGGCTTCACTCAGTGCGACTGATAGAAGGTCATCCATTCAAAAGTTAGGATTAATTATATTAGGTATCCTGAAATAAGAACAGTATCAATTGNGAATAGAAATTTTGGTTCCGCTGAAGAACGATAAAATTGGAACAGTGTTCGGATTCGGACCAAACACACAAAAGAAAACATTCTAGGCCGTGAGATAAGACACTGCAATTCTACATCAAGAAATCTTTCCCATTAACTAATTTGTGCCTTCATAAAGTAGAAGGCGATTTTTCTCTTTCTATTTCGAGACAAAGAGGTCTTGTCATGGCTTTACCACTACTTACACCGGTATAATAGACTTGTAAGTCCTAAAGTAAGAAGTAAAATGCAATCAACAATTATTATATCTTGACACGCATATTTTAGGATAATCGTGAACTAAACACAACACAGTGATTAATTTAGACATGAAAGCGATTGTCAGATAAAATTTTCAGTTTTGATCAAAAATCGCAAATATTAACTAAACTTCTAATAGTAAATAAGTAGCGATGACATTACCCAGCAAATAATGACAATATTGTCATCACTACTGATTAGAGGTTTATTCACTTGAAAGAGAAAGGATCTTAAAAATGTCCTGTAACAACCACATCCAGCAGTTTGCTTCGTTGAAGTCTAGGTTTTCTGAGCTAACGGTAACCACCCTTACCTATATTCAATGGTCGATACTGGTTTCAATTCAAAACTGGTAGGTGATCGTTCCACAGAACTGACAAAAGATACCCAGCCAGCATATGAACACAATGAACTACTGGAACTATTTGATATGAACCCTCGTCGAACGATTCGAAAAAATAGACACAAACTCAGAACTAGATGGGAAAATTGGTTCTTACAGCAGTACAGCTTTCGCTGTTAGACGAACAAGTGGTCGTGATGCTACACAACCGTGTGAGCCAACTTGTCCGCCCAAACGAGGCACATGCACTTGCTGCGACGTATATGTGACGGGTTTAGGATTTATGCACTCAGCTAGGGCTTCGACGCGAGAGAAAAAATACTGTCTGCGAAATTTTGCGTCTAATTCATTTTATCCAACGGTAACGTGTAAGAATTGAGTGATCGTACCGATTCTTTTGTTCTCTACAAACGACAGGTTACTAAGGAGGCTACTAAAATTTGAGCATGCAATCAAAGCCCTAAAATTGGAAAGGAGCGGTTGCAATACAGATATTCGAATAATCTCGAACAAAATGTTTGACATGGTTGTTTTCTTTGGATGAAAAATAGTTTTGCTGCGATAATGACTGGCGATGGAAAGTGGCCATGGTCATACGACCTTTAACGTAGAAAATTCACTTTTAGTTCCAAGGCACATATCAGCATTCCACAACAAAATGTTACAGATTTTCAGCACAACTTGCTTTCAGCAAAGCAACAAAGAATGATAACTGTAAAACAACGAATTTTCGACGACAAAAAAAACACGCGCTCCACCTGCCTCAATCAATAACCTAACAGCCTGAACCATAAATTCTTCAAAAAAAAAAAAAAAACAAAAAAAGAAAATTGTAGTGGAAAACGTTATATCATTCTTTAACATAACTTCAGTTCGGAACTTTTTTCCTCCCACCTTATCGCCGTACTTAGCGTCTCCTAGTTGGTAAAAATTATGTACCTCCTATTTTTGCTACATTGTTGAGTACACTATAATTAGGAGGTATATAATTTTTAATTTAATGTTGCACAATTTCGTATGGATGGCTTTCACCCCGAGTTTTACTACTACAATGCTACCATCTAGTTGTAAGAAAAAAGAGCAAAACAAGGTAATGTTATAGGAAACATAAGTTGGAGGAGTACCCTTTCATTTTTTCGCAAATAATGCAGAGGAAAAAAATCACCAAAAATTAACATGACCACCCAATCTGAGACGAAGAACTAAATGATGGTCATGAAAAGGTTCCTCTCCTCTTACCTATAAGCCCGACCTTCAGCCATTACTCCCTAAGGCGATAACCATTGTCATCTGAAAAGGGGAGGTCTAAGCAGAAAAGCGAAGCGTCCATTTCGAAAAACCCGTGCCGTTTCACTTTCAAGCCACCAGTTGACTAAGCGTGACGTAATATTTCACAGACCCTGCACTTTACGGGTTATTACGAAAGAATGATGCTCTTCGGCCAGCATTTGACCTTGAACGCTATGATTTCCTTTCTCGGCGCTTTTGCGGTGAAAGGGCGATGATAACGATTAGCCACCGATATTCAAACATAAACGTGATCTGATTAGGGAGAATAAACACTGATGCTTCCTCTCGCGCCGTACTTTTTTGCCCTACCTTCAATGCAGTAACCTTTACTATGACAGAAGAAAACCTCATTTGCGTGGCATGGGCCCAAGGTTAATGTTCTCCGACTGAAAAGTCGATTCAGAGAGAACAAGTTTGGAGCGGAGCTGGATGAGATGCATTGTCGACTCGACTCAACACCGTACAACACCTCCTTTAAATTGCCCTCAGAGCGCGACGTCTGTAAAATAAAAACGAACCTTTGTGTTTTTTTGTGTCGCTAACTATTAGAAAACACATAGATCTAGTTTTGAAGCAATGTTTCTCATGATTAATGTTAACTTTCTCCGCTAGCTGATGTGTACTGCTACAATGAATCGTAGTAACTGGAATGATGACAAATCATATCAGTAGAAATGAGCAAAAAATATGAAAACAGCCACCATTAGGCAAGGAATTCCATAAAGGAATCTATTAAAAAAGCATAAGATATGTTGTAGTTGCATGAAACCCACTTTTAGCATTACCTATCGAAATACAATTATGCGACAGTGTCAGGTTTTATGATCTGCGAGAAAAAGAAAAGAAATTTATCAACGGTATCAATCTTCAAACGCAACTTCCACAGCAATTTTAAAAGTAAGCTCCATATCGAACTTATTTTCAAAATTACTTTGGAAGCAACTTGATGGGGTCTTACAATATCAAATAATTCATTTACAGGATGAAGCACTTCACAAAATCAGGCCAAACTACTTTTGCCCGTCTGGTAGGGCTAGTCTTTTGGGAATACATACACACAGTCCCATTGTGATCATTCCTCCTTTTATGAATCAATAAACATGTTTTTGATGGGGAACGCTATCAGAGAAGTCATGTACGACAAACGGAATAAAGGAGATTAGCATACGATGGCTATGGTTTTGGTACAATTTCGAGTTTGACGAATGGCGCTGTATGATAAAGCAAGGTAATTCTGGTAACAATCGTGAAATAGCTTCACATGAATGAATGAATGAATGAATGAACCGTGCCAAATCGATTGGTGGGAGCGGTCGCGAATCGATTCACACGAGACGAGACGAGAAAAGTGAAAAATGGCGCTCCGCGAATATATGCGACGACAGCCATCTTTTCATTGCTGGAATACGTATGGACTCCCCGGAACACAGGGAGCGGCACCGCCCCCTGTCCCAGAACGACCGCCCTCGGCTGGTTACGTCTGTGCTACCGTCCACGATCAATACCCATAGTGATCTCCGATCGAGTGCCCGTACTTTAAATGCAAATCCGCCTTCCAAAGGTTTTGGGCCGGTTTGCGGTTGAATGGGATTGCCATGTTGCATTCGTAAATCCTTCTATGGAATTAGCCCTATGACTTTTGGCATTCTGCCACAACTCAAACTCAGCGACCCATACCAGTTTCATTGTAAGCAGTTCCCTCAAGTACAATCTGATGAGTAAAGCTTCCCACAGCCCACCCCAAAGTGCAACACGTGCATCCTGCACGGACGCCGCAACGCGGCAAATTTGAATCGCAGCCAGGTCAATCGACGCGGCGCCTCCTCGTTCAGGCGTCCCTGTATTGATACCTTTTCATTCCCTTGTGAACAGCTTTTACTCTTTTTTTTGTGTTACTCTACTCCAGAGTACTAGTAATTGTCTTTTTTGTGTCAGTTTTGTTCTTGGTAGTGATGTCCCCCATGGGCGAATGGCGGCTAACACATTTATAACATACTGCAAGAGAACGTGCGGTTTCTAATACACGGATGAATATTCGATTAACACAGCATGGGTGAAGGGAACAGTGTGATGGAATGTTAATGTACAGTGCCGTTTTACTTTAAGAAAAGAACCCAGCAACGGTTGGTAATAACAGTAACTTCCCAGTGCATGACGGGGATTTCTTTCCAGGGAACGCAACGCGTACTATTCATTACTTCAGGGCTAATCGCAAAAGCTAGGAACGCTCTCGTTGAATTTGTGCTTTCCCTACTTTCCTCCAACGGTCACAATGAAACGTATAATTCGCTAAGTGGGTTCCAAGTGGTACATAAATCATAACTCCCCTCTTTTCGCCCGTTGAGCGTTCAGTTCCGGAGAATGAATGCATGGAGTTTGAACCTCGGGGCAGCTGCATGAATCGATGTCGATTTAGCTGGTTTGACCAAAAGCTTTTTAGCTGCACAGAGTCCAACTTAATAGGGATAAACGATACGGTAACCTCGAACTAACTAATCCAACCGACAGCTTTCAATCGATATCGATTGCAGCTGTCAGTTCTTTTGCAGAGGACTGAAGAAGTAATCAAGCAGATTGTTGGGGGTGTAGTCGTCGTAGAAGATAAATCCCGTTCCGTCTACTCCTTCTATTCTATTCAGGCTAGTTATCGATATTCAATAAAATTATCGGTTTCTCGCAGTGGAACGAAAGAGTTTTTCTAACATTGATAGAAAAATAGGTTGTGTGTCGTAATTATCGCTTTTTGAATCAGAGGAATCATACCCAACTAAAACTGCTCCATGATACCTTTCAAGGGTCCCAGCCTATTATAATTCGAATAGCAAGTCATTCCATTCAGCCCATCAAACTTGGTATAACTTGTTATTTGACTTATAGAAAAGAGAGCCGTCGAAGGTATAATATCCATGATACAAAACCTAAACTGAAACTACCTAAGGTCGCAACCTTTTCACTGTTAGGGCAGGTCCTGCTATCTACCTTTCAGTGGAATCAAGCAAATTCAGTTTCTAGATTCAGGTTGTCAGGCTCTC